ATTCAGGGCATTCAAAACAGCCGAATGATACAGAGAAGAGGGAGGTAAATCGGAGCAGGATGGTCGGAGAGAATAGAAAGGGGCGGAGAACAAAGGGGATGGGAGCTTTGCGAGGCTTTTTAAACCGAAGCAGGAAGCTATGGGGGTATATACATATAAAGGAATCGGGAGGAATACAAGGAGGTCTACGAGGACGATGGAAGATGGAGCTGGCAATAACGATGACTGGGAACGATGCAGCGGCAGTGGCAACAACAATTTTTCAAGCACTTCCGAATGTTGCAATGGAAATCTGCATTTTTAATTTGTGTGTGTGTGTGTGGGTCTTATGTGTGTAAGACAGCATGTGTATGTGTTTGTCTGTTTGTGGTGAGTATGTGTTACTGTTGATTTCTTCCCATTCTTCGTTTTAGTGTTGTTGTGTTTTCTTAGGCTTCGGATTTGAAGCCACGACTTTAGGAGTGCAGTGAAAGAAATTGATTGGATTTAGCACACAAATTATTATTATTAATTTTGAATTTAAACATTGAAGGGTGACAAAACAAAGTAACTTTAAACATAAAATAACCTTGATAAAATTGTATATTTCAATATTACAAAACTTAAAGTCTATTCAGTGTATAACAGAAATAAATGATGGTATTTTCTTATCAAAAGTGTTCACTTGATTATTAGAAAAGTTTCAGTGTATTTTTTGCCTAGTCCAGCGCCATCTAGCGAGCATGTGTATAGGTCCTGCAGCTGTGTGTATGTGAGCTTGTGTGCATGGGCGTCCCAGTTCTTGTAGCGTTTGATGTGCCTGCTGTTGTTGTAACTTTTGTTGCTGGTACGCTGCACCATGTTGTTTGTAACTTCCTCATGCTCGGCACATGACCCCTGGCCCCTGCCCCAGGACCGAGCCACGCCCCCCGCCCTGAGTCCATTTTGGGTGAAATTGTTGGTGAAATATGGCAGAGAGTTGCAATTTTGGTTAATGATCTACGAAGGGCTTGGCGGGGCGGGTGGATTTGAAAGTATTATCTATTGCGTTTGAAGATCCCATGCACTCCCAGTGGAAACTACAGTAGACAATACAAAAAAGTGCATTAATAAGAAATATATAGAGGTAAAATCATTAAACTGTTTTTTTTTTAATTTTTAATAAATCGAAGGTACATAAATATACAAATTTATTGTTTAACGTTTGTTGTGTTAAGAAAGTACCAAAATGTATTCTCGTATTTAATTTCCTACTTCCCTGTCTTTCAAAAACTAAGCTCTTTCAAATGTCATATAAAACCCCTTTGGAATTGCCCTATCTCTTATTTGCCAAGTTTATGATTAGTTAGCACTTGATATGGCTTCATCAGGTATTTATATTTTTTAAGGGGAAGAGTAGTACTGTGAATCCTTTGGGTGCCATCCCAGGAATATCATCCTTACTGTCGGGGATAAGCCGTCTGTGAGTCCTTTTTACTTCATCGTTCGTTTTGTCTTTCGTATTTATTTTGTATTTCTTTTTTTGTGAGGGCGGTAAAATGGCCGTGCGTTTGGTGGTTAGCATTTGATTGTGATATGCACACAAAAGCGGATTATTCTTGACTCTTTAGCAGCATCATTTATGACATGCAACAATAACAGTGGAAAAGGCGGACCAGGGAAGTGGGTGGGAAGTGGAAAATGGTGGTGGAGTGCAGCAAATGCAATTTCGGTTAGTGGCCACAATTTTGTTTAGAATTTTGGCCCTACCATTTTGGTATTGTCTCGCATTCTGTTCCACGCTCCCATGCATTGTAGTTACATTATGTTTACATATTTCTGCCATACAAAGAAAAAACTGAACAAAAAAAACACCCAATTGTGGAATTGCAACCACAAAAGCTGCTTAAGTTATTAGTTATCGCTATCAATAATGCATACAACTAACTATCCATCGATACAGCTTGTTTGGGTGCGCACACTTTCATTACAGCACAAATGCGTTGAATAAATTTAATTGTTTTTTCATCATAAATTATCGTGGCACGCATATCCGTTGATAAAAATGGAATTGCATTCTAATTGCAAAACGAAATCATATTTCGTGCCATAATTAAATGGCAAATCCGCGTAAATTGTTTAGGGGCTTGGGGATCTCTTGCCATTGATCGGTATGCTTTTAATTTTGCTTCCAGCACTGTCCAAACGTAGTGCCTTTTTTGTGATATGCTTTTAAATTCACTCACAAACATCAACTAAAAATGTTCCTTATTTCTTTATTAGTGTCTAAAGCACAACTGTTTGTTATTAAAAACATTTTTAAATATTGTAGTTAAGTTGTAGTTGTGCCCTTCATAAATCCCTCAGAGCTTAAGTTTAAGTTACCTTCAGGTGAGGTGTGAACGAAGCGGATAAGGTAGCTGGATTTATAAAGTAGGAAACGGGGGATAAGGAGTCCGAGTCAAAAGGGGAAATGGGAGACAGAAAGTAGACTTAGATCTAACAGGCGACGTCGGCACTTTTAGTCCACTTGCCCGGCAATTGGACCATTTCGTTGAGCGCTTCACAGCGCTCAAGTTGCCTTGGGTTTTGGTTTGGGTTTGGGAATGGATTGTGGCCGGGTTTTGGGCTGGAAACGGGCTAAAAGAGGTAGAGATCCCAGCTGTGCTGCCAGCCGACTGCCAACGACATTTAGCCCACTTTTTACGCAGCAGCGGGCACCCCAGGAATCAGAGTACAGGATGGAACCCGTACAGCCCCGAAGTTACCCCCATTCCCAACACTTAAAAATATTTGGGCAACAGAAGAAATCTTAAAATCTACTCTCATAAGCTCTGCCAATTTTTCTTTTTTTTTCTTTTTAAAGATGTCAAAAAGAATTCAATACAATAATTTAAATCCTGAAAAATCCTTTAAAAGGTGTCTGGAAGTATGCAATAACATATTTTGAATACGAAAGTTCGATGGATTTTTGGACTTGTAATATTTCGAGCTCCACAATATGTTGTTAGATGTTTTTGGGATATATTGCTTCCCAGCGCATGGCCTTTATTTTGGCCAGTGTGTGTGTATTAAGTTCCCCGTAGTTCGGCCGTTCAAGTAGTCAGTCAAATTGGGATTCGGTTGCGGCTTTTTGGGGTCACCTCGCCCATTTCCACTCCATTCCATTTCCCATCCCCATTGCCATTCCACTCCACCTCGGCGATTGCCTTTTGCCGCTGCCCCGTTTAAGATGCAGATAATGCTAATTAATTGTATTGATTAGCTCATTATATCATTAGCCGGCAGCGGACTAGCGAACTTGCCTTGGGCGCCATTTCAATGTGCCGTGCGCCGACAATAAGTTCCGACCGCAGCAACAATGGATGCAATGGATCCTTGGACACGGATCCTTGTGCGTAGTGCGTTTGAGCTGCCCGGGGCCGCACATTCATATAAATAAACTTGTCCAAATTGCAGTTACCGCCCCAGGGCCATGGCCAAAATTGTGTGCAACACCGAAAACTTAAGCGATGGGTGGCGAGAGGCAGAGGGGGTTATGCAAATTCGGTTGGTATGATGAAAATCTTCGGGGCAGGTTGTGTGTCCATGGGCTTTGTTCTTGGTTCGGAATCAAGTGAAATCCCGTACAGTTGTTCAGGGATTAAATAACCTCCTGGAACTATCGTTTTCACGGATAAGATTCCTACAAAGTGGGGCTTAAAAAATATAAATGGGTAATTTACGTATATATTTTTGGTTTAAAATAACTAATTTAACAAATAATTTTAAGGATCATTGGCATACCAATAATTGTTAAGCCATTTTTTGGCTATAACATAGTTTTTAAGAGGAATCTTAAATCTTTTCCTTTACTTTGCTCATTAAATCTCTTTTCCACTACCTGGCTTAGTTCAGAATTTGGCTTAAAACTTTGAAATATATATATGAACATTTTTATATGCATTATATTTTCAATTGATCAACTCTTAACCAGTGTCATCTGCACTAGATATATTTTGCTCACTTCATTCATTAGATCCTAAGTCGGGACTCGAGTGATTCCTTTTCATTTTCTTAGCTGCTTTCCTGACTCTGTCGTGATTGTCAGGTGTTCGTGGCCCGTTCCTTCTGCGTGGCCATCAAGTTTTGGCCAACTTTTTGGGAAACAAGCTGCATCGTCCTGCCACGTCCTTCGTGCCCCATCCCTCGTCCTGCTGATCCTGTCCCCGATGTCGTCGGCAGCATCGTTAAGGCGTATCCATCATAATATCTATCAGGGGCGAGGGGCCTGGGCATCCCACTGCCGTATATACCGCCTCATCCGAATAATTTCATTTATTTATTTATATTCATTTATATTAATACATCCTGCAGAGCAACAGTCAAACTCACTGCGAACGGGACGGAGATAGCTGTGGATATAGAAAAAGCTGAGGAAGAAGTATTTCAATTTGTATTGCCAAGTGTCTGGCTCTAGCCGTCTCTTTCTGTCCCGCCTCCGCCCCTCTCACTCGCACTCGCACTGTCTGCAGTTGCAGTGCTCGACTTTGCCACGTCGACAGCTTAAAGTTTGAATTGCAGCACACGGAGTCACTAATCCACTTGGAGAAAATGTTGTATACTTATGTTTTATTTATTTTGATTTATGCTAACATATTACTTAACCTGGCAAATTTTATTTTTCGAATATGTTATGTTTTAATCCCTTAGGCCTCACATATTCCGTGAATCAATAACTAACTAATAACTAACTAAATATTGTATGTACATAATGTATGTACATAATGTACATAATGATATAAAATAGGCATTATATATCCTTAATACATATATATTAAATTTTATTTATTTTATAAATACTTTCAAAACCATTCTATGTAGGATTTGCCTATTTTTGTTAGCGTGTTTTAAAGCCTTCCTTTATAATGGTATCCCAAGCATAGCTGTGTATATTATAACGCTGATTATATTATGGGATTTTTATAATTTTTCCAGTGTCATTTTCCGCCTGGACAACCTGGCCGAAGGTTGGAGTCGAGTCTGAGTGGGGGATGTTAAAAATGGGGCCGTCGATGGAGGAGGATTACAGGATGCAGGACGCCACCTTTTGCAGCTGCTTCCATGTGTTCATGGCGCAAATAATCGCCGTCATCAAGAACAACAAAAACAAGATGGCAGGACAGGATCAGGACGACAGGATTGGGTCCTGGTTCCTGAGAACGGATAGGGATGGTGGTGGGGATGGGGATGGGGATGTTGATGGGGGAAAAGGAATCCGAAGATGAGTTGAGAGACGTTGACGCTGACGCCATTAGCACCGAGTTTTGCAGCATCAACGACAAACTTTAAATTGTTGCGTCATTACAATTCGAGTTGGGGATTGTGCGGGGGGATCAGCTGAAATGTTGAGCAACAGGAAGCCGGGGTATATATTCTGGGCCTAGCCAAGGCATAAATGCCCCTTGCCAAAAGGCGAGAAAAGAAGAAGTCTTGTCCCCGTTTGCACCAGTGATTGATGTTGCACTTTAAATTTCAGTTGTGTCAGTCGGATGCGCACACACATGCTCCCTAATGACCAGGTGCCACAAATGGTTGCATTCCCTAAAAAAACACAAAGTAAAAAAACAAAAAAACCATAAAGTGCTATTTTGCCAGTAAAATCTTGTATTCCCCTAAGACGTTAACTTTTTTCTGAAGTCGTCAAGAATATAATTTTCGGGATATAAGTACAATGTACGTTGTACATATGTGTGTTCCCCAACGTTTAGTTGCCCTGCATTCTTAACAAGACTACTGTTTTCCAGTAAGGGCAGATGAATTCATTTTTGATTTTTAATTTTCGCACGAATCAGTTTCACAAAATATGATCCAGACCAGTTGTTCTTGGTATTCAATATTGTTTTATTACAATACACAGAATACCTTTCGCATTTTGTAACATTTATTTACTTTTAACTAAACACGTTTTCATTGGCTACAAAATATTTAATTATTTAGTTTTATAATTAAGTATCATATAGTAGTTTTAAAGAAATTTATTTTTCAATACAGAAACGTTCATGAGGCTGAACAAAACATACATGTGTCATAGGGGAAGCTAGTAAATTAAGTGAAATATAAAAAAAAACATCTCTAACTTTAAGCAAACTCATTCTTGGTGGTAATAAAAAAGGGGCCATACATTTTCATAGTGCTGACTTATACATACAGTCCGATCTGTCTTGCTACCGCCCTTTGCCTTGTAATCATTTAAATGAACAAATTATAAATTACCCCAATAATGGGCTCGGGAGCAGGACAAGGACAAGGAATCCGGCCAGAATATGGGGACAGGAGTCAGGAGTCACGTCCAGGCACACATATATTTCATATGCACACACTCCTATATGCTGATATATGGACATACACACATATCATCTATATGCGCCATATATTATATATTGCGGCGATTGCATCGCAACGACAATTTTGGCTCATTATAAATTTGCCTTAATTTTAATGCAAAAGTCTCTGCCGCAGTTCGTCCATCTGTCTGTCTCTTTCTTTGCTTATAGGGCCATCTCTTTCGGCAATGTGTGTGTCTGGCACAGTGCCTTACATTTAATGCAACCCAGAACTCCAGCTGGCATCGGACTCCGATTTCTGAGTCGGAACTGGGAACAGAGCACTGGGAACTCCAACTGAACTCCTCGCCACGAATTGCATTCAACTGCAGCCTGCAACCGAGTCATCCATCTGCCCTCTCTTTCATTCGCTGTGGATAATCATGTTGCTGACAGCATTGTTGCCGCACAGTCCGCTGTTCCTGATACCCTGCGAAAATATCAGGAAAGGGCTCTACAATCGAGTGACGATTGAAAGTAAGTATCGTTTAAGTAACTGCTTGAAACGTTTTATTGATTTAAGCTCCAGTTTGATAATAAACTTTGCATTTATTTTCTGTCAAGGTTTTTAAAATCTTATTATTATTTTAAATTTTAATGCCAATCGATTGGAATTTAATTACGAGCTCAAAGAGGTATCACATTCCTTAATCTGACATCATTTCGCAATTTGTCGACCAAAATACTGATTTTGTTTGTTCAAAAATAGAGAACCTTATTTTTTGACGAAAAATGCGTTATTTTTAGGCCGTTTTTATGTCGTAATTTAGTCAAATCGGGGCGCACAACAAAAAGACCGACTGGTATGAGCAGCTAACAACCAAGGCTATCGATCCATATCACAAATTGGGAAATTTATTTTTTGACCCATTTTCGCATTTTTTGTAAGGGGTCTTTATTATCTATTTTTTTCGAAAATTTTTCAAAAATTAAAGTTTGAAGATTTAAATGCCAATCGATTGGGAATTTAATTACGAGCTCAACGAGGTATCACATTCCTTAATCTGACATCATTTCGCAATTTGTCGACCAAAATACTGATTTTGTTTGTTCAAAAATAGAGAACCTTATTTTTTGACGAAAAATGCGTTATTTTTAGGCCGTTTTTATGTCGTAATTTAGTCAAATCGGGGCGCACAACAAAAAGACCGACTGGTATGAGCAGCTAACAACCAAGGCTATCGATCCATATCACAAATTGGGAAATTTATTTTTTGACCCATTTTCGCATTTTTTGTAAGGGGTCTTTATTATCTATTTTTTTCGAAAATTTTTCAAAAATTAAAGTTTGAAGATTTAAATGCCAATCGATTGGGAATTTAATTGCGAGCTCAACGAGGTATCACATTCCTTAATCTGACTTCATTTCGCAATTTGTCGACCAAAATACTGATTTTTTTTGCAAAAATAGGGAACCTTATTTTTTGACGAAGAATGCGTTATTTTTAGGCCGTTTTTATGTCGTAATTTAGTCAAATCGGGGCGCACAACAAAAAGACCGACTGTTATGAGCAGCTAACAACCAAGGCTATCGATCCATATCACAAATTGGGAAATTTATTTTTTGACCCATTTTCGCATTTTTTGTAAGGGGTTTTATCATCTATTTTTTTCAAAAATTTTTCAAAAATTAAAGTTTGAAGATTTAAATGCCAGTCGATTGGGAATTTAATTACGAGCTCAACGAGGTATCACATTCCTTAATCTGACTTCATTTCGCAATTTGTCGACCAAAATACTGATTTTTTTTGTGCAAAAATAGGGAACCTTATTTTTTTACGAAAACTAAGTTATTTTTAAGTCATAATTTATTCAGATCGAAGCCCACAACAATATTACCGACTGTTTTGGGCAGCTTAAAACCTAGGCTAACGATACCTATATCTTTCTGGTAAAACTATTTTTTGACCAATTTTTGAATATTTAAAAGAGTTTATCTGGGTGCTACCCAAAAATACCCTCCACATTGTATGTTAAATTGTTGCACGACAATGAGCAGGCTGCCGCCAAAAAAAGGGAACAAAGATGGGGAGAAGAAAAGAAAAGCCAGCAAAATGCACATGCCACGTAGTTATGCATATGTCGTTGTCCCAGGACCCCCCAGGATCCCCATCCCCCGAGCCCGCCGCCACTGTACGTGTGTTCCAGGCAATTCACAAATTGAACGTACGAAATCACATTAGCCCCAACGTCAGCCTCAGAGCCCTCAGAACCTCGGAATCAGCTCCAGATCCTGTCTGTCCTTTCAGCATCTTCGCTTGTTGCAGCGGCTCCTTGGGGAAAATGGCCCATACCAAAAAATTCGCAGGCCCCGCATCCCGGATCCTTAAACGGAACCTTACACTTTTAATATATATTAATTTCTTTATTGGACAAATTAAATTTAAGGTCGTAAGATACCATCGAATCGCCATCGAATAAAATATTTTACAGCATTACCTATCAGTTTGTATCGATTTTTTGTGTATCCAAATTTGGGGATTAATTTATGAATACTATTTAGTAAGTATTTCGACTTTATCGTTACTCATCCTTCTGTATGCTTTTTTTGTGTAATAATGAATACTGTGGATTTTCAGTATGCCGATTGCTTAGGGACTTATCTATGAATATGTATGTATATGTATGTAAGGGTTTTTTGATTAAAATATTGCTTGGTACATTATTACCTATCGATTTATTTGCTTATCGACTATTTGAGGGGCATACTATCTTATAAGTTATTTCAGCTTGTAATTGCAAGTCAATGGGTAGTATCTTATGAGTATTACATTATCAGATTGCGATAATAGATTGATCACTCTTTCAACAAATAATTTTACAAAAGTGTATTTAATTTGGGCTTTTTTTTACGTGTATCTGGGCTATTTCGGCCGAACACGTACGGAGCCGCTGGCATTGGCCAATTGGCCTGGTCTGGGTCCTTCTTGGTCCTGCACCCCTATATATGTATGCTCCATATGCCCCTCTGCTGTGACGACGTGCTGCAGGAAAAGTTTTCCTTGTCTATTGATTTGAATTTGAATTTTTCGCCTAATTGCAAAAAGTGAGCACAAAGTGAAACAAGCGAAAGAAGTGAAGGCAGGCAGAAGATTCAATAGGGAGTGACGGCTATGTGGCCATTTCTCAAATGCAAACATTTTACCTATACATTTTGGGACAGCAAAGAAATCTTACTTAATTTTTGATTTCCGCTTCAGCAACAAATTTAAAAGATTTCATTTTTATTATGTCCTGCTAGTTGTTCATCGAGTTCCCCCTGTGGATACTTTTTCACTCAACTATCTCGCTCCAGGCAATGTTTACCCAATGCAAGACATATAATTCCCAATAAATTCCAATATTAATTGATTAAAAAGCAAATGCCAAAATCTGAGCTCAGCCCCAGGGAAATTTCAAATAAATTTATACACTTTCGGGATTTATCCAAAGTGTTTCCCTGAGCGGAGTAAATTAAAATGGCAAACATGCAAAAATATATTGACAAAAATTGCACCGCAATTTTAAATAAAAAATTAAATGCGTTTTTCCATGTTTCCTGTTAACTTTATTTCGTTTTCCATAATTTCAGTGTGCACTTAAATTTAAAATTGTATTGATTTCACCCTTACTTTTTCCCTTCTGGAACTTCTTGTTCTTGTACATTAACAACGGTTATTTCGATTCTATTGTTGTAATTTTGAAAAACATATTTATTTAGCTTGAAGGCGGGGCAAAAACATAATGTTTTATTCCATCTAGAAGTGTGTTTACATTGGCGGTCATAAAAGTACGTCTATTGGGAATGTACAAAAATGTGGTTTATTTATGATTATTGTTCCCATTTTTAAGTTTTGCAGTATTGTTGTGCAAATTTTAATAGGTATATATTTATCATATATTTTTCTTTTCTCAATTAACATGTTTACATACGTTTTTAAAAATTGTAGGAAAAAATTTAAAAATGTTCTACTAAATTATGAAATA